CCCATTTAATTTTAAAAGCCTTAAAATTGTCTCTTGAATTCGCTAAAGTTTAAAAGGTTATGTTTATTTCAATATTTAAAGTCATTTACTATTTTCATTTCCTTTTGTTTTAATTTTTCTATTTAGAATTTATTAGACTATTAGGTTTCAAGATCGAAGTCAATATCTTTTTACCGTACAATCACTAAATCAAAGTCGCTCAACTAAAGTTTTGGACATTGCATAGCTACACAACATCCAACACATTTAATGATTACATGCAAATAATTTTAATAAAACTACCCATTCGATATAAGTTATTAAACAATTTAACTATATATACATTTTGATAGGTTTATATCTTTCATATTAACAAAAATTTACAAATGTTATTATTATATTTTGAAAAAAAAATTAGACTTTGGAGTTTTGTATAAGATAGATAAAGGATAAGTTAATTCCCGTCATATATGCATTGAGTTTTGGGTGTTCTATCCGGTTCACCCTTTGGGCTAATCCAGATTTGAGGAGTTGTTCTAAGCTATTAGGTTCCACCCCCTTCCGATTGTTGTTGCAGAGGAGCGAACATAGGTCCTCCATACCAATTAAATGTAGTCTCAATCACCACTACACCAAAAACCAAACACTTGGTATGGAGGACACGTGTTATAAAATATTATATTATATACATATACTTTTTTATATTATAAAAAATATTATATTATATACACATACTATTGTAGTTAAAAGTATTATTATGTATAAAACAACATAAATTATTGCACATGATTGTTGTATATCTAGTATAGTACATGATCAATGCACGATTTTTAAATCAAGATGTTAGTTTTTCTAAAAAAAAAATCATAAGTAATAGCATTGTTAATATGAATATTACAATTTAAAACACGAGTAATAGTTATAATACATTTTATATCTATCATTTTTCCGTCAAATGTCTAATTCAATTTAACTTTTATTCTTCTTGTTTAAATTGGTTATTGGTTCTTTTTTTTTTAATGCAAGAAAAACAAAAGGTCATTGTAAAAGACATTGTATAGAAAATGAAAGGCCAATTAAAATTAAATTTTTGTTCAAGATTATGTATTTTTTTCCAAGACAACATTTCGGACAGCATTCAGTATTTGTCAAGGAGTACAACAAACGATAAAAGTAATTTTTACACTATTTTGTATCTTTATCAAAAACTTTTGTATTCAACCGATTACTTGAATTGAATTTAGGATAACTTGTAGACTATTTTGGGTAACTTTTATCAATAAAGCATAAATAACTTTCATTCATTACAGGGTAGCTTTTATATTAGGTGCACAATATTTTATTGTACATCTGATTTTTTAAAAATGTTTGCATTGATTTCATAATTGACGTCAAACTAAATTCTATCGATTTTATTTAATTTTCATAAAAAAACAATATTAGCCTTTCAAAATACGAAATATTTGTTTCCTTAATTATGCCACTTTAATTATATTGCTTCAAATTAGTTATTATTCTTTAACTTGACTATAAATAAAGATTGGAAAGACTTTATGGATTATTTGTAGTATTATAAAGTATATATTTATTATAAAAAAAATTAAATCAATATTTATGTTAGGAAATCATGAAAATCTTATACATGTATAGAAACTTGCTTTTATTGATTGAAGTTTAACAAAAATAACTATGCTTGAATATGTAAACAGTAATTATATAGATATATTTTATACTTAAGATAAGAAAATGAGAGAGTGACATTTGTCATCCTCACATTGAGGCGCTTGTCTTTTAGTATAATATATAGATAGATAGATAGATGATACTGTAAAGATTAGTTATAAAGGATTTGTCGTTGCCCTCTTTTAAAGGATTTATTAAAGGAAAAAGATATTTGCAATTTGCAGCCCTAATGGCTACATATAAGAAGCTAAAAGTGGAAAGAATAGACAATAAATAAACATTTATTACACCGATTTACTCGTGAATTGTCAATAAATTACCAACTTAATACTAAAAACGGAAGTATATTAAATGTTTATATGCAGCCCTAAGGGTTGTATATAGCATTACCCTTTATTTAATGATGAATGTATCTCATCTCACTAATTAGTTGTTTTTCTTAAAAAAAAAATATCTGCTCAATATTTATTACTTTGTATCTTATTTTTGAATTAAATACGGAGTAAAAAAACATTAATTTGCCTTTTGCATGATTTATATAGAAGTTGACTTGATTTTTTTTTTTTTTTTTTATTTCGCATATAATAAACATGTGTTATTAGGTAATATACAATGTCTTCCTTAAAAAAAAAAAACAAAAGGTACGGAGTAATATATATATGTTACTCCGTATTAAACTAGTCATGATTTTTTTGTTTTTTAAAAAGGAAAAATTAAAATAAATAATCCCACATTTGCTCGACCTGCTCTAAACGAGCCTACCTTTGCATATTCTAGGAACGAGCCCACCTTTGCCCTATATTTTCTCAAAACAAGCCTTTTTACCTATGACCTATTGAGCAGGTTAATTTTTTTTGTTATTTTTTTTTTTTAGAAAACTCTTTCTCCGCCACGGCTCCACCTCACCACCCATTTCCCACGTGCATTCCCTGCCACCACCAACACTACCATCCCTGCTCCTCTCACCACTCCTCACCGCAACCAAAGCCACCGCATCACCTTCTCAGCAACAATACACCACCAAATAACAACATCAACCACCACCGTCACCTCTCATCTCCGACCTTCATCAACCACAATCATTCACATCACCTTCACACCCACAACTCACCTGTTGCACTTGCCCAGCACCACCACCGAACCGCACACACCACCTCTTCCAAACACCGCAAGCCGCAATAATCGCACCAAATAACAGCAGGAACGCCACAAGTCACTTGCAAACAATTTGCAAACCCCCGAATCACCAATTTGGCGCACAAGCAGAAGCAATTAGTAATTAATGCTCCAATTGAGTGGGTTCTTTAGGTGGGACTTTTAAGTGGTGGAGGTAAGTTAAGGGGGGTGGGTTGGTGGTTTTTTGGGTGAGTTAGGGCGGCGAGCCAGTGTGATAGGGGTGGGTGAAGGTTTCAGGGTGAATGAGGGGAGGTTGCGGGTGGGATTCAGGGTGAATGAAGGTGGTTGAGGGGTGGTTGTCGTTGCCGGGAGGTCAAGGGCAACAACCGAAGGGGGGGGAGAGGTGGTAGTGGCGGTGGCTGGGGGGAAGGGCAGGGGCGGCAGCCGGAGGAGGGATGGACGGTATTGGCAGTGGCAGTGGTTGAGATATGGGGGAGGAGAGAAAAGTTTTTTTTAATTATTTTTTAAAATTAAAAAAAAAATTAAAATTGGACCAATTAGAAGGTGACATGTGGCAGTCACCTTCTAAAATCGGTTGCTAACTTACAAAACCAGTCAAGGGCTTGTTTTGAGAAAATAGAGGGCAAAGGTAGACTTGTTCCCGGAATATGCAAAGGTGGGCTCGTTTTGAGCCGATCAAGCAAAGGTGGGATTATTTATTTCAATTTTTCCTTTTAAAAAATATTTTCTTATATACAATCACATATATTATTGCGGATTTGTCAAATATGTCAATCAAATTAAGCTTTTATGTTAAATTAAAAAAAAAAAAAAGTAAGAGATAAATGTAATTAGGACCCCTTTCATGAAAAGAGATAACTGTGTGAGACGAGAGTTGAAAATTTGTCTATCTTTTCTACCCAAATGCCCAATCTCATGCAGTGGCTTCACAATTGCTGGATTTTGCCACACAGGCCCAAGATTCAATGTCAATAAAGCCCAAAGATTTCTTTGTAACAAGCCACATATGACCCAAATTGGGCTTCCAACCCAAACACACACTACTAACACCGGTCCACGTAGTTTGCATGACCACTCCTGATATATATTGGTCCATATATAATCTATATAAAATTGCACAATTAACACATCCCAATTGCTCTTATAATGAGTTCCCTACTATAGTTTATATTACTATCTCCGTTACAGGTTATGTACAACGATTTGACATAAAGTAGAGAGGAAAAATGTCAAATCGTTGCACATAACCTGTAATGGAGGTAGTATTATAACATGAAAGCATTCAACCCACCTCCTTGGAACATATCATCGTGCCACATAGAGATAAATTAGCAGTTAGATAGTATGGTATATATTGGTGTATTGCAAAACCTAGCTAGGTCCCACACCCAAACAAAATGAAATAAAGTTGTGTAGTAATTTGTTCAAATTACAATAAGCAAAGTTATATAAAGTACGATGTTCATCATTCATTCGATCACACACACTAAATTCATTGCACCAAAAAAAAAATCACTTTATTTCTTCAGAAACTTAGTCATATTGTCCAACCAACGGTGTTAATCTTATGTGCAATTTTGGTCATCTTCCTTTCTCTCTTGCTTTTCTTTAATAATTGGTTTTATTTGTTAATTATTTTATTTTTGGTTTGTAACTAATTGGTTTGTGATTTGCAAATTACTTCATATAGTGACAATAGTGTTACATACAAAGGTCTTCCATTTTGCAAAATGGCATGTAGTTAATTAACAATATATGTGGCCAACTTGCAATGCGCCAATGCGTGTAACACTATAAGAAGTACTTAGCAAATCACAAACCAATTAGAGACACACAATTAGCTTTAATAGTTATATTATGAAAGACTTACATATATGTACAATAATATGGTGATGAGCTAAAACATTTTATAGGTTCACTTTTAGGCATTGTATAGCTTAATTAAAGTGTTTAGAAAATTGGAGAAGTAGTCTAGCTCACTATAGGAATCTAGAATATGCATGTTAGCTTTGTTATAAATTAAACTTAACAAACCAAAGCAAAGAATGGAATTATATCTAGCTCATGTAACTTAAAAAGACCAACACCCAAGAAAAGAATGGAATCAATTCCATCCCATTCCAAATAGCTTAATTAAGATATATATATATATATATATATATATCACTCCGAAAAATACTTCGTAATTCAAAAAACAATAATCAAGAAAAATCAATCTTACATAAATTCGAAATACTAAATATATGATTCATCTTAATTCATAAAACTTTTACGGCTTTACTTGATATATACAACCTACGTACTAGCCATATACAAGTACTTTAATCAATTATAGAGACCACCTTCATTTTTTTTCACATTTATCAACCATATACAAAATGGCTATATATGCATAATCAAAGTACAAAATACTAGGGACTATTCAAAAAAAAAAAGTACAAGATACTAGGGAATTTCCAATCTCAACCTAGATGAACCTAATTACCATAATGAAACTGAACTAATATCCCAAAAAAAAAGCCGTTTATTTGTACATATGAAAATTTAAAAACCCTAACATTTCTATATAATAAGCCCTTACTATAGCCATATTGCTAGATCCTAAGCTCCTTAATTAACTATGTGAAGACACAAAGTCGAACCCATATAGCCTATTTCAAAACTTGATGATCTACCTTGAATTTTGTCCTTCGGCTAGTCATTCCATTAGAGCTTGCATCTAGAAACTCAAACCCCGGCTCAAAAGCAGCAAAGCTAACATACTTATTGCTAGCCAAAGAAAAAAAATATACAACAATTATGATGAAGCGAAGGAAACTCTACATAAATCATAATAGAGCACTAAAACATTGAAGAAATTTCGAGGAAAATTGCATCAAACCTTAACCATCATCATCCTAGGAGGTCTTTCGGATCTTTTGGAACAACAGCAACAACATAAGAGAAGCAAGAGAAGACAACCTAGTATTATTGCTGGCACTGTTAGAGACCTTGGAAGGTGTAGACAATGAAAGAAGTCTCCTATTTTGTGTGTTATTGAAGAGCTAACATGGGATAATCTTTCTTTGGTACTAGAATTATCTTCCATTACTATTTGATCTCTTGTATGTTTTTTTTTTGTCCTAACTTAATGAATAGGCTAACACCTTTTTATGTACAAGTTCAATGATTTAATTAGTTCACTTTATTATATGATGATTATTGGTTATTTGGCTTAAGGGTTAAGGAATTGAATATGTGTTGGGTTTGAGTGCATACATACATTTAGATCACTTTAAAGTTAAAAACTAACCTTTTGTTATTATGGATGTCATACTCAACTTTCTTGTGAGAAAGGTTAAAGGATATTGGATGGTCTAAAGTTCAATATATTACACCTAGCTTAGGTATAATGTGAATAAAATTTTAGACATCCTATTTAGTTCATCTTTTTTTTTTTTTTTCTTTTTTTTTTTTTTATGTAGTATGACTATTGTACGTATTTGAGCGGGATTTTTTTTTTTAAATTTTAATGATTACACAAAGTTTGGATTGTTTTGATGGATTAATGGAAGTAATAAAGATACATGAATAATAAAAAATGTAACGGTTTGATCAATAACATAATACTAAAGGTGAATTTGATATGACACTTGTCATGTTTTGATTAAAAAAATTCCCGCCACTTTTACTTTCCTTTTTTTAACAATATTTATGAACTTTATTTTATAATATCCTATAATATTTAACTTTCAATTTGACAACTATATATAAAGTATATTCTATATGCATTCAATGAAAATATTTTGACATATAATATTTTATAATAGGTATTTTTTTTGACAAGCATAATAGGTATTTTTCTATATCAAACAAACATATACTACATATAAGGTAATATAAGGAATATTGGAATAATGTAAAACTCCAGTACTCCATAGTTCATATCATTCAACATCATATATTTTTTTTCCTTTGAAAGATTTTTTGCTCCAACCGGGATTGTTACATTTCCTTTTATTATATATTTGTTTTATTATTTATATTTATTTTGAGAATTGTTGATTTATTTATAAAAATAACACTACATTCAATAACTATAAAATTAAAATTAAAAACCTTGATTATTAATTGTCACAAAAAAAATTCAATTATATTTGTATAAAACATTATACCGTCAAAGTATGCTATATATAAATTATAAAACATTGTGCCAGTCAAAACATGCCACCAAAATAAGGATATATGGGATACATAAGTACATTTTACGGGTCATAATTAACATAACATTTTAATCTTATATAAAATCCTATAATCATTAAATATTGCTTCTTTTTTTAAAAAACTTTTGATATCAATATAATATAAAATACAATGGAAAAGAAAATCAAGTATTTGTTTCAATTAAAAATATTGATTTTTATTTTTAATTATTGTTAAATTAATATTATAATTTATAAATATGCTAAGTAAAAACCGTGCATTGCACGGGACTTAAACTAGTTATCTCTAAAACGAAACTAAAAGCTAAGGGTTCGTTTGGCATTGTTGTGGTTTTCTGTTTTTTGATTTTTTTGTTGTATAAAAGTATATGATATATGTCACATAATGAATGAAAAATTATTTAAACTTATTAGAATCATAACAATATGAAAACTGACAATAGAAAAGTGGAAACACCTTTTTCTTGTTTCCTGTTTTTGGTTTTTGGTTTTCAAAAAAACAGGAAACAGAAAACCAAAAATGATGTCAAACAAGTCCTAAGTCATTTAATTAGTGAGACATCAGACATCTAAGTATAGCTTAAAAAGACTACGGCGAGACTTGCTAACATCTCCTTATAATTTCATTACCAAAAGTACTACTACCGCAATTTCATATTATTTGCAACGATTAGACATTTTTCCTCTCTACTTTATGTCAATTGTCAAATCGTTGCAAATAATATGAAACGGAAGTAGTATTACAAGTGAATTAAGCAACATGGTCATTGTTTGGTAGTGTAACCCTAAATTAAATTAACTTAAGTGCACTTATCTCTATATATGTACCTGTTGTATAAAAGAATCTCTAAGGAAGGGCGACAACACACATCTTTCAAACTAAATTTGTAAATCGTCTAAAGCATGCTACTTGCACATCACTGTGGCGGTGCTTGTTTGAAATTAAAAGAAGTTTACATAAAGAGAGAATTAGGAACATTGAAAGCAGAAGCAATGGAGGAAAAGAGATAGAAATAAAAAGGGCCAAATTAAAAGAAAAGAAAAGAAAAGGTAACTAGAATACGACCATATATAGAGTCACTCACACATAACTAGGGAGCCTCGAAGCACGAGTATTGTGGGCTTTGGCCCATTACAATCAACCACTCAAGTTTCAACTAGAGCTGTCAATTCGGGTAAACGGGTTGAGTTTAGTTCGGGTAAGAGTGGGTCGGGTCAACTCCGGTCGGGTCAATTCAGATTAATTCCATAACCTATGCAGATTGGGTTTGGGTTGGGTCATGCTTGAGTCGGGTCACGTCGAGTCATACTTCTTATCGGGTTTGGGTCAGGTTAAGGTCAGGTTAATAACAGGTCGGGTTACATTCGGGTCGGGTTACATTCGGGTTTTCACGGGTTAGGGTAATTCTCGGGTTCGAGTCGAGTTCGGTTCAAGTCAATAATATGCGGGTTAGAATCAAGTCGGGTCATTCTTGGGTTTGAGTCGGGTTCGGTTCAAGTCAATAATTTGCGGATTATAATCAGGTCTGGTCATTTTCAAGTCGGGTCATTCTCGGGTTCACGTCGGGTTCGGTTCAAGTCAATATTTGCGGGTTATAATCAGGTTGGGTCATTTCCAAGTCGAATCATTCTCGGATTCAAGTCGGGTTATGTTCAAGTCAATAATTTGCAGGTTACAATCAGGTCGGGTCATTTCCAAGTCAGGTCATATTCGGGCTTTTTTTTTTTTTTTTTTGAAATATGGTCATATTCGGGTTCAACTAACTATAAATAGATAATTATCATTTTCATTAAGATAATAATTTCCTTTGACTATAATATATATGGCAATATACTAGGGAAATATAGTATATAATTTAGGAAGATAATTATCTCATTTGACCATACAACAAATATATACTATATTTAACTCTTAAATTTGAGGATTATGCTTCTTTTTTTTGCTGCCTGGACCGACTTGGTCTCCCAAGACAAAATGCTTTGATCAACAATAATAAGGTGGTCTAAATTGCATTTAAGGTGATTTGAAATCGGGTCATGAACAATTTGGGTTGAATTTAGGACGAGTCAATAACAAGTCGTGTTGATTTTGAGTCGGGTTAGTAACAAATCGGGTTGAATTTTTGGGTTGGGTAAGTAATAGGTATGGTCAAATTCGGGTTGGTCAATAACAAGTCGGGTTGATATCGGGTCGGGTTTGTAACATGTTGGGTTAAATTTGGGACAGATTAGGAGCAGGTCAGGTTAGTAACAAATCGGGTTAAATTCGGGTTTTGACGAGTTAAAACGAGTTTGGGTCAATTTCGATTCAAGTCGGGTTCGGTGCAACTTAATTAAATTCGCCGTTGCAAACCGGTAAATCGATGCAAGTTGTAAATCGATAAATTGGCCGTTTAAAAGCAAATTGAATGGTTCCACACACCCAATTGGACTCCCTGAGGATATTAGGGACTATGGTAATTGGTAAACATTTCGGCAATTATTATTTCCGGGCGAAAAAAAGTCAAAAAATTCCAAAATTGAAGGCTAATATCCACGCTTTTTGAGATATTTTGGAGGTTTATTTCAGGTGCCGGTGTCGACAAGTCTTGAAATTCTATGGGAAACATCTCGGGGTCATATAATGCCGTTTGGAACCATATATAATCATTATTTTTTGTCCTAAATGTTCGTGGTAGGCATGAATTAATGAAATCGGTGCAAGGTGTAAACTGGTAAATTGGTCGTTTAAAGGCAAATTGGATGGTTCCACCCACCCAATTGAACTCCCGGAGGGTATTAGGGACCATGGTAAACATTTCGGCAATTTTTATTTTCGGGCGAAAAAAAAATCAAAAAATTTCAAAATTGAAGGCTAATATCCACCTTTTTTGAGAAATTTTGGAGGTTTAGGAGCCCAGTGTAGAAAAGTATTAATATTTTAGGGGATATATCTCAGGGTCATATAATGTTGTTTGGAACCATATATGATCATTATTTGTTGTCATAAATGTTCGAAGTAGGCTTGAGTAAATGAAATCCGTGCAAATTGTAAGCCGATAATTAAATTGGACTCCCGAAGGATATTAGGGACCATGGTAAACATTTCAGCAATATTATTTCCGGGCGAAAAAAGACTAAAAATTCCAAAATTAAAGGCTAATATCCACACTTTTTGAAAAATTTTGGAGGTTTCGGGGCCCGGTATCGAAAAGTCTTGAGATTCTAGGGAATACATCTCGGGGTCATGTAATGTCATTTGGAACCATATATGATCACTATTTTTTATCATAAATGTTTGTGGTAGGCTTAAGTTAATGAAATCGGTGCAATTTGTAAACCAATAAATTGGCTTTTTAAAGGCAAATTGGAAGGTTCCACCCACCCAATTGGACTACCGGAGGGTATTACAGACAATGGTAAACATTTTGGCAATTTTTATTTTCGAGGGAAAAAAGTCAAAAAATTGCAAAATTAAAGACTAATATCAACGCATTTTGCGAAATTTTGAACATTTCGGGACTCGGTGTCGAAATATTTTGAAATTCCATCCGGGGAATACATCTTGATGTCATATAATGTCGTTTGGAACCATATATGATTATTATATGCTGTCATAAATGTTCGTGGTAGCCTTGAGTTGATGAAACCGGTGCAAGTTGTAAAATTGGTAACTTTGTCGTTTAAAGGAAAACTGGATGGTTCCACCCATCCAATGGGACTCCCGGAGGGTATTAGGGACCATGGTAAATATTTCGTCAATTTTTATTTTCGGGCGAAAAAAGTAAAAAAATTCCAAAATTGAAGGCTAATATCCACGCTTTTTGAGAAATTTTGGAGATTTCAGGGCCTGTTGTCGAAAAGCCTTTAGATTTTAGGGGATACATCTCGGGGTCATATAATGCCGTTTGGAACCATATATGATCATTATATGCTTAAATTAATGAAATCGGTGCAAGTTATAAATCAGTAAATTGGTCGTTTAAAGGAAAATTGGATGGTTCCACCTATCCAATTGGACTCCGGGAGGGTATTATGGACCATGGTAAACATTTCGGCAATTTTTATTTCCAGGCGAAAAAAAATATAAAATTCAAAAATTGAAGGCTGATATCCACGCTTTTTGAGAAATTTGGAGTCTTCGGGGACCAGTGTCTAAAAGTCTTGAAATTCTAGAGAATACATCTCGGGGTCATGTAATGTCGTTTGGAACCATATATGATCATTATTTGAATTGTTGTCATAAATGGCCGTGATAGGCTTGAGTTAATGAAATCGGTGCAAGTTGTAAACCGTTAAATTAGTCGTTTAAAGGAAATTGGATGGTTCCACCCACCCAATTGGACTCCTAGAGGTTATTAGGGATTGTGGTAAAAATTTCGGAAACTTTTATTTCTGTGCGAAAAAAAGTCAAAATTTCTAAAATTGATAGCTAATATCCATGTTTTTTTAGAAATTTCGAAGGTTTTAGGGTCTG